AGGGTTGTTTTAGAGGGAAAAAAAAGTGCTTATATATATAAATATATATATGTATTTATTTTTATGTATAAAATGTAATTACGGTGACTGCGGCTGAAGGAAGTACTGAATTGCTGCGCGGAGGTTGCCAACGTGCAAGCTGCGTTCAGAACACCGCCCTGGTTGCCCTGTGTGCCCCTCCGGGTTCAGGCGTGGAGGATGTTTGCTATATACTCTGCTCTCTTTATCTATACATTTCTAAAGGCTTTATAACAAAGTGCAAATAATGTCAGCTGCATTTTACAGATGGGGAAAAAAGAGGAGTAAAATTACTTGCCTAATCCATCACAAAGAGCAAATAATGTGTAAATCTGGGTTGGTTGTTCTCTTTGCTGGGTATCGCATAAGAAAGCTTAACGTTTTTAAGCCTATATTTATTTATTACAGCTTCCAGTATACAGGAAAGCAATACATATTATAGTTGTATAAAAGTTTCTACTTCTTCCAGGCAGATAATTGCAGATGTATATCACTTTTCACATGCTCAAGCACTCTCTGAGGTAGGTGCTTTGGCAGAGATGCAACATCAAAGCAGCCGTGAAGGATTAAGGTCCTAGACTTTAGAATAAAATGTCAACTTTTTAGCTATCTTTTTGTCACTGTGTATTTGAGAGGTGTGTGCAAGGCAGGTTTTCAGAAGCGCTTACTACTAAAAGCGCCATATGAAGCCACAAGACAGTGTGACTCCTCAGAATCTGTGAAAATTAAGACCTAAAATTCAGGCTTTTCTTAAGAGCCCAGGTTTGTTTAGGTTCCATCTTCAATGGACAAATTTTCAAAATGCTGCTGTGAATTTTTTGTTACGCTTGTCATTAGAGTCACAAATAAGGATTTTGGGTTGCTGAGAATAGCCAGTATCAACCCAGTCCTCAGTACCAAGGGAGAGGATGTTCTGGGATATCTGTCCCTGAGTGTCAAGATTTAGGCATGCACACGCTCACACTTCTAAAACCGGACGAGGTCACAGCTCAGTCGTGTTCCTCACCACTCGGCACGCGTCTGGTTTGTAGTGCCTGGCTACAGGATGACTCCTCGGTTTCATTGCCTCGAGAGCGGGATGCCAAGGTAGGTCGGACGTAAGGCAGGAGCAGAGGAGAGTTTGTCTTGCTGCTCTTGCCTAGGGGAACCATGGGACTGATTCTTGCTGCAGCTTTACAGAGTTTAATAAATAGACTCATCTCCTGAGCGCTCTTGACAGTCCACGTCTGACTTCTCTGCTGCGGAGGCTGCTGCTGCCTTAGTGCGTTCATCTGCACTCCTATCTCATCTTCTTCTATCTTACTTCCTTCTGCTTCAGTGTTTTGCCTGAGAATTTCTTCTGCATATGTGACTTTGTAGCTTGACTTCTTTCTTTCTGAGGGAATATCTTAAGGCTGGGAGCAGGAGGGTGGGCAAAGAAAAGAGGTGGCCCTACTATTGCTACTCAGTAAGCTATTTGAAATGTATCAGTGCTTTTTGATCTTCAGAAAAAAAAACCTATGAAAAATATTTCATATTCTCGAGTACTATGAGTTGGAAACTTGTTTGTTTCGGTAGGATTTATTTTTCGTCCTGTTCATTCTTGATTTTAGGCCTTCTGAGCCTCCTTCCCACTTCTTGGTTACCGATTGACCAATATGTGTGCTTTTCTTCCTTGGCATTTGTCCCACTTCCAGTGAGGTCAGAGGTAATCTCCTGCTGTGTTTGAGCATGCACTGCCCTTGGGGAAACAGCAAAGAGAAGGGGGGTTGTGGGCACACGACCTCCGCAGCTCTCACCATGGTGGCTGAGCCATCACTGCTCTGCTGCTAGCCCATCTCTGCTGGGCGTCATCGTCCTGTGGCAGACCAGCAGGGCAAGGCGCACGTCTGCGTCTCAACCTGGCATCTTCCCTCAAGCCTTCCTCAAAACTGAGGGTGGCAGGACCCGGCAGAGGTGCAAGGAGCAGGCAGTTGTGGGCAGGAGCGTCCCTGGCTGCTGAGGCCAGGAGCATCTCTGCGGGGCATCGAGGTTAACAGCCGAGCATGAGATGAAACATTTCCAGATACCTGTTCACCTTTTAAACTCCCATCTCCTGTGCTTGCAAAATTTCATCAGTTGTTTAGAGTACAAAAGATTTAGGTCTCTAATGTAAGCAACTAAAACATTGGTGTGATTTATGTGCGCTCATCCTTTTTTGTATTAGCAGCAATGACTCAGTTTTACTTAGCATCTATAGCTGAGTCGCATGAAATAAGGAATGCTTTAAAAATGTGGAAGTTTACTATCCTGTGCCTTGATTCACACTCAGTGTCAGAGAGCCATATGTATATCATTGTAGTCTGTCATAATTAACATCCTCAATCAAAGTTTCATTAGCTGTGAACTGGAGATGCACAAGTTTATGACTTGATCATAAAAAAGTTGACTGAGGTGGGAA